CCCGTTGACCGCTTGAGGTGTTGGTACAGCCCCCGCATGTCGCGGTCCTGGTAGATCGCTTCGAGCTCCGTCACGTATCTTTCCAGGTGGTCGTAGATGCTCGTTGCGATTGTTGCCTTCACCCCCTTGCACGTTGCTTTGAGGATCCTCCACGTTGCTGCGTTCGGTCCGGCCTTGAAGGAATGTCGCGCAGCCCGTCGCTTGTCAAGGGCGGTCGCCAGGGCTGTCCGTGCCGCGGTGGTCATGTTCCATTCCGTGGTGCGCCGCCTCCGGGGTTCCTCAGACAGCTCCGTCTCCGCCGCGCCGAGCCGAGCCGCCGAGCCGACGGTATATATGGAAGGATTCCGATTTCGGAATCAGGGGCAATCGTCAGGTGACCCCAGGGAGTTTTTGTACGCGAACCCCCAGAAATTCCACGAAAGTCTAAATTATGGGGACGTCGGAATCCAAAAAATTCCAATTTGAGGAATTCCAGCCCCGTCGAGCTGGAATCCAGGGCGGATTTCAACTCGGGCGACGACAAGTTCCAAAGCAGGAATTCTGGGGGTTCGTGAAAACACAGTGTATCGTGCTGTTGCGCCCTACGCGCACACAGCAGTGCTGGCTATGGTGCCGCTCGCAGAGCTGAGGGCGGCGTTGACTGTGCTGTCGTTGGCGCTTGTCGCGCTGCATCATCATCAACAGCTTCTGGTCGCGTCGCTGCTACAATTGCGCCGAGATGAAGAGGAAGATGACGATGAACCGCGACCCAAGCGCCGACGCACGGTTCGGCGGAGAGCGGACTGTCGCAGGTTGCCTTGGGGAAAAATGCTTGAGAATGCTGACCTCCTTAAGGACCCGTCGACGAGAGAGGCAAAACAGTTTCGGCGAAGGTGGGGCGTACCCTACCCTTTCTTTCTTACCCTTGTAGACGAAGTGAAGGCGGGGAACTGGGCTGGTTTCACGACCGACGAGTTTGAGCTTGGCGGGAGAGGCTCCAGGCGCTGCATCCCCGTCGAAATATAGGTGAGCAAACACGCGCGTGCACCCTAGCGTGGGGTGCTAAGCAAGGCAGCATATATCTATATATAGAGAGATGGATGATGGCAGCGTTGGGTTAGGGCTCTGCAATAATTCAACCACGGACATGAACAGACGAAGGAACCTTCCCCAAGCAGGTAGGTAGATGGTATCTTGCTGTTGCACGTCGCATCGCAAGACGCGTACTCGGCACAGTCCGGGCACGTACAGAGCGCACCTACTTCCTGGAGGCAGGGTGCTGGCTGTGACTGGGGCTCGTCTCATCACACACACTCTCCCACACTTATGATCACGAGGAATAGTAGTTCCATCGCTGTCCTTTGCGGCATCTATGTAGACTATGATATTGAAAGAGAAGTTTTGCTGTTGCCACCCGGATATTGTGAACACCATCACGGCGGTGGTACTACCCTACGGCTCATGTAGAGCAGACTCTCTCCATCGCTTCGGAAACACAAACCTATGGATGTGTTCTCCTTTCAGTCTCGGACGTTCTTTCTGTGACTGATGCTCGTAGCTCACTTGCAGTGTTGCTCCAAAACTGGACGAACTCTTTTTACTTCGCAAGTTGGATACGCATACGTCACACATCCTGCACCCTGATGACCTGTTTTGTTTACGCTGCTGATCACAACGTCTAGTTCTGCACAACACGAATCGTCTCCCCTACCCGCTATTTTTTTATGGTTTCCTGACAGGTTTTGGCGGTGCTTCGCGTGCTGGGAAGAGGAAACTATTTTGACGATGTCTCGGAGGTCACGGACATGGGCGAGGCCACGGTGAACCGCCTGTTCCACCAGTTCACGGAAAGATTCGCGCGTGAGTTTTTTCGGTGTGGGTGAGCATGCCGAATGAAGACGAGCTCAAGGAGATCATGAAAGCATTTTTTTTTTTCTCCCATCATTGGACTCTGCCGTCTGCTCCTCTGGCCCCTATCCTCCACTTCTGCTAGCTAGACGACCCAACCGGGGTCACATAGGAAGGGGGGGCTGGACCCCCTCCTGCGGTTCCTGCCTGAGGTTTTTTTATCGCGAGGAGGGTACAGTAATCCCTTCCCTCGCGACTTACGAAGTCGATTATGGTTTACTAACAACGCATTGACGAGGTCAGAATGTCGGGTGCCATGGGGTCGATGGATGGGACGCACTTTCAGAGGACGGTATGTCCTTATTCCAAACGCGCGTCGTTCACGGGCAAGAAAGGCTACCCTACCATAGTGTACAACGTCGCCGTCAGCCACGACATGCGTGTTTTGTCGTGTACGCGGGGTTTCCCCGGGGCCCAAAACGACAAGTCCATCATCAAGTTCGAAAAGTTTGCGATGGCGGTTCGAGACGGGCTGGTACAAGGACGTGGAGTACACTCTGAAGGGTAAGGAAGGAGACGATGTCAAGGAGAAAGGGCCATGGTTGATAGTGGACGGCGGATATCACAACGTGAGCGGGCCCGCGTTTTGCACAACGGACAACAGGCTGTAGTGCCGATTTTCTTTCTCTTCATGCGCTGCGCGCGGATGGGTTGGTGTTCAACATAAATTGCCAGGAATAGACGTACGTGTAGGAACACGAGAAAAAACAACAGCGTGTCAACGTGTCTTCCATAAAAGGATGGTATGCCCATGTCATCTAGTTTGATTTTGTTTTCTCCAGATGCTGTGTCACGGAACGTTGTTGTTGTTGTTGCTGTTGTTGTTTTCACATCAAAAATCGCCCCGGTCCTCTATCCAGTACCCCCTTGTCCCAATCTCTCCGTGCTGATGTAGCACTATCACTTCACGCGGTCAATTCCCGTGGTCACAGGCTAACTTGTTACCCAACAGGAGGTATACAAAAAATAAAATGGAGACCCGAACGGAACGTTGCTGTTGTTTTATTTCGGGGGTGCGTTTCATTTGTAATATTGCACGCTTTCGCGTCTGTAGTTTCTCTTGTTCGCTGGTTCGGTTAGGTGGTGTTTTTTTTCTGTGGATGATAAGCAAAACTACGGTACGCACCAGCATAAACAGAAGCCAGTGACGCCCAGCGGGGCGAAAATGCCGATACCCCGGGTCTTAATCTTTTTGTAGGGGACGAGACTTTGCTGATGCGTGAAGCCTTTGTCGAATCTTGCGGCTAGTAACTCAGGAGTTCGGGCTGCTCTCTAGGCCTGTATGTTTCTGTGGTCCTCTGTCCTCTGTCATGGTTTTCACCTCTCTATTGGATAAACTTACTACGACAGGCTCCGTGAGAGAGGAGTTTTTTGTTCGGGAAATAAATGCGTAGTACGATAGACGGCTTTGTGGCACCGTCTGGTCAGGCAGCGGAAAGTTGATGACCGAACACCTTGGTTGTGTTTGGGTACCCGCAATTATTTTTTCCCGAACACCTTGTATGTGTTAAACGTGCTTGTCTGCCGGTCTCTACGCGAGTTCCACAAGCTGTTGGTGTTTACCCCGCCAGAAGGCGTAGGTGGGGGAGACTGAACCAGGTCCCCGCCCCACCTCTCTGTACATTTCGGTACCTCACGGTCTTCGCCTCCTCCGAACGTGATGGTAGTTGATGTGCACTATGCCATATTTGACGTTAAATTTGAACGTATGGTATGCTGTTCCGCGGTATTCTACTGAGGTTCCTATGTGCGTCTTCAAGTCATGTGTGGTACATCCGCCCTGACATCCCTAACGTTAATCCCTACCGCCCGCTCACCCGCCATCAATCCCTCGTTGCTTGGTGGAGGCAGCTCCAGAGTCCGATCAGGGCGCCATCAAACAAGGCCGAGGCAGGATTTAAGAGGCAACTCGAGAACGTCCGCTAGGACTCAGAGTGCTGCTTCGGCGTCTTAAAGGGCCGGTTCAGAATTTTGAAGATGGGTTTCCTCTACAGGAAGAGAGAGAGAATAGACAACATCTTCTTCACGTGCGTCATACTGCACAACATGCTTCTCGCCTACGACGGGATCGAGCTGCTGGAGGCGGACTGCGGCTGGGCCGGAACGGACGGCAACCTCGACGACCACATCGTGCACCCTGACGCGCGGCGGATGGCGATCACGCACGAGGCTGAGGTTGTGGAGTGGGACGACGACTTCCTCGAACTGAGGCAGAAGTGGGTGACCAACTTCGCTTACCGATGGGGGCAGGGGACCGTTGGGTGGATAAGGTCGTGATGGCCTCTTGGCAAGTCACATATTGCTACGTAGCTGTCCTTTGGCGGGGAGCTGGGGGTGGGGGCGTCTTGACGGCGTTGTTCGTCCCTCCGACTGTACGTTAACTTCTGGGTCATCTTATGATTTGAGTTTAGTTTCGCTGGAGGGTGGGCGGTCTCGTGTGGTCGTTAGTTTCCCCGCTGAGCTATGAATTGGGTACGATGGCGGCAAATCACTTCGCCTCTGAATGTAGTCTTTTCTGTACGTCGTCTTTCGAGTGCTTGTTTTGTCCCCAGATGTTCTCTGGTATGTGGAATCCCAGTCCACTGGCGGTATTTTGGAATCTTGCCCTGAGTGTAGCGATTAAATCTGGTCGTGGTTCTGACTCACGTTTGTGCCGGAGTAGTCGCCGCTCTTTGCGCAACACCTTTCCGACCAGGTTTGTGGTGCGAAGTTTTAGTGGGGGAGGGGGAGATGGGGGCGTTGGGGCTTGAGGCCACCGCTGTCAAGGATATCCTTCGAGCTTTAGGGGAACTAACGGTGATCAATCACGATGCACATCGTATCGAAGCAACGCAGCGTAGGTGGAAACCCCGGGGACAGTGTCACCGCGACGAGGGTGCCTTCAGAAGTGACACGCGTATCGCAGCGGTCGGTGCGATCTCTCGTTTGTTTGTCTTCTGCTTCTAATGGAGGTCGTCCCTAAAACAAGGACCGTTGCATAAGTCAGGCGCTACAGCTTGAATATTACCAGAGTTGGAGGTGGAATAGTTTTTTGTGGTGGTTGCACAAAAGTACCTGCAGTAGGCTCGTGCGTCTGTTCATTGGCTGGATCGTGTGATTTTCTCGTCGTACAGAAGAACGGGGGGCGGTCCATCATCACCAGCTAGAGAGGGGGGTGGTACCCATCATCATTCGCTAGAGGGGGGGATGGTGTCCATCA